AGCTGGCAAGGACCCCACTGGCTGTATTACATCATGGTAGATGGTGTCACGGCAGGAGCTTGTGCGAGAGGCAGAGATCACTGTTGAGACCAGAAGCCAGAGGGAAACCAACACGGCACCTATCTCGTTCTTTCATAACAACCCTCTCTTGAGAACCTAACCAGGGTCCCACAAGAACTACAGGAATCCCTTCTCAGAACAGCACCTCCAGTGACGTCCCATAGGCTCTGCCTCTTAGGGGTCCACCACCTCTTAATCTCCACTCTGGGGACCAAGCCTCCAACACACGAACGCTGGGGGGGGTGGGGACAAACCAAGTCCAAACTAGTGCACCTACCAATGTGCCCATGAGAGTCACTTTTGCCTTTATACTTCATAAAATACAAACAAGTACAGAGAAGGGAGAAGCAACTCCCTATGTGCCCAGTACTGGCCCAACTAAGTAGGAGGGAGTACTGGGCAGTAGATCAAGCTTGCTTGGTTTTAAAATCAAACACACATGGGTTTACATTTGGCTCCACTTTTCCCAATCCACGTGGCCTTGGCATTAGCCACCCCGCAGCTGCCTCCTCAAGTTAGTTATTGAAGATTGAAGACATATGTGCGATAAGAGCTTGTGATCTTAGCCCAGGGTGGACACCCAACCCAGGTTTAGGATGGCCGTCCCTGGAGAGCCGCTCACTGCTCCAGCTCCTTGTCTGTCACTAGTTTTGTTTCCCAACATCCGTGTTTAATCTTCACTCCTCCCTGATACCACTGCAAACAAGCACACTGTGTTTTGTTTGGTTTGTTTTGTTTTTACCGCCTCCCCCCTTTTATGTGTTCTGTGAAAATGTGACTTTTTAAATTGACACCACCAGGCAGTCAGAGCATGCCTTTCTTCCTGCTCAGTGAACCAACCAGCCCCTGTGGGTTTACTGGAAACCCGAGGTCTATTTATCATTGTTGGGTACCCCAGGCTACCTCTTTGCTGCCCACTTCTGGGTCTGGGAACATTCTGAAAGACAAACTGTGCCAACAACATCTCTGGAGAATCGTGACTTCATAGTCCAGAGCAAATGGCAATATTTTTCCCAATCCCAAAGATAGGCTAACTACCAATGGGGCTTGTGAATCATTTGGTTTACTAGAGTCAGCCCAAGAAACAGAGTCCCTAAAGAATAATAGTATTTATCTGAGAATAATTTGGGAGCAGAGCAATGAGTATCATGCATGCCATGGAAATGATGGGTGTATTCTAAGGAGAGGAAACTTCTGGAGGCAAAACGAAGAGGCTTGCATAAGTTAGTTCTGAAACATGAATCTGAAGCCGCAGGGATTTATAACCAGAGAGTCCAGGGATCAATAACAGGGGTGGTGTCAGTCCATGGTTGAAGAGAGTTACTGGACAAACATCCCAGAAGTATTTTCTGTATAAGGTTGCAGTAGCCTTTGTGCAAGGATGTGTTCCTGTAGAGTCTTTTGTGATAGTTCTTGGTGTCAGGTTTACATGCATGAGATCCCTCCTCATGACCTCCTGGGTTTATTTGCTTAGATTTGGGTTATGGTTTGACAGAAGCAACTCCATTTTGATTCTGACAATTTGCACACAAACATGAGAAAACCTCTCTGCAACTTTTAGTAATATCCCTATCCCTTTAAACAACAACAAATGCCACAACAGCATTCTTATTTTAATACTACCACCTTTTTATTCATAGAAGCTGAAAAAAAAATAGTGTGGTGAACATGTGACCAGTCACCAGGCTCCCACCCCATCATGTGCCTTCCCAGAATAGGGACCTTCTCCTTTGGAAACAGAGGCCATCATTACACCCAAGAAGTCTCTCATTGACCCAATACTATTAATAGGTTCAATTGTCCCATGAAATGTACTTTACAACAATTTTTTTTTAATTCTGGGGTACAACCAAAGATTGTATGTTTCATTTGCCCTGATTAGCCTGACACTTTTAAAATACTGCAAGTTTTAAGTTACTAAACATAAGCATTTTACCTTAAGGATAGCTTTGTCAAAGAAATTAGAAGATGGTTCTTCAGTAATAAACAAGTTCTGGCCAGAAAGAATGCCTATCCATTTATATCAGAAAGCAGCACTAAATATGGCCATCAACCAGAAGGTTAATATAGATTATGTAGAGAGTATTTGTCAACTAACCTTTAAAACAGCTACAGAGGTGATCTACTGATTAGAGTCGTATTGTCCTTCCAGAATTAGATGGCATATATCTAGGAGCAAATATTTCCCCCTGCTTAAGAGCCTCAAGAATAAAATCTAGAATAGCACATCTGGAGTCTACAGTTGTGCTGTTCCTCCTGTGTATTGCATGTGTGTCCTGCATGTGCACACAGTTGAGACGATATATTCCCATACCAGCTGCTGGGGTCTGGTCCTGCTCCCCGAGGGCACCTACTTATCTGACATTCTTTTCTACCTTTACCCCTGGTCCTCAGAGGGGAGGTATTGCCTTCCCTCTACTGACCAGGTCACTCCCTTGTAAAATGTAAGAAAACCCACCTGAAAGTACTTGGATCCAAAGAGGGGAATTGCAGAGAGGACGATTGCATGCAATTGGGAAGCACTGAGTAACCAGTCTGTGGATAACTCAGGACAACTGGGCTTCTGGAACACTGGGACACCTCACCACCGTGCACACAGGCTGTGCTGCCACACACCTACTGGGTCAGTGAATTCTAGGGGTAACTTGTGGTAGGTGCCTTCCCAGGGAGTGAGCTGGAGTTATCATAGGCTCGCAGCCTGAGCAGGAAATACTATGTGAACTGCAACCCGTCTGCACTTGGATACTGCTCCAAATGCAGATGGGCTGCAGTTCACATAGTATTTCCCAAGCATAGTCCCTGGAACACTCATCCTACAAGATGCACCTTGGAGAAGGGGTTCTCTGGCCAAGTAAATTTGGGAAACGGTTCTTTGCCTAGTGGTTTCCCACATATAAAGAGTTCAGAAGATATAAAGAGCTCAGAGAAGTACTGAGGTAAATGAAAACTATTGAAATTTCTTTAATCCTTCATTTCCCAAACTCATTTCTCCAGAGAACCCCACTTCTACCCACAAACCTCCACTTTGACTCGGGGAACTGAGGATAATAGTTGGACTTTGCTCCCGCCCCTGTTTTGCTGGACATGAGGGTAGGTGAGAAAGCAGGATGCTGGCAGCTGGATGGCAGCAGCAGAGAGTGGGAAGGGGGCAGGAAGAAGGAAAAGTCAGACATTTCACTATTTGGCTGCAATTTCTTCCCTCAAGGCTGGACCTGGATCTGGAGCTACCTAGAACTCCGCTTGGCATGATTTACAGATGTGGGTTTTGATTTGAACATCACTGGCTTCCCATAATAGTTTTATTTCCTCCAAAGACCAGTGAGTGGAGAGAACAGTGGCCCCTGTAAAACAGCCTCCACACAGGTCTCTCAGCTGAAAATTGTCCTGGTGGGCAGCCATGACCCGAGGATGGAACTCTAAGAGCCATGGTCCACGATCAAGGATTGGAAATGCACACACTCCATAGGACAGAGAGAAACCCACTGGATACAGGTTTAGGAGAAGGAGGGAAGGAAAAGTTAGGTTGACTATTGAGCAGGCTTGAAGTCTGGCGAGAGAGGGAGACTTGCTATAGAACCAACTGCGGAGGGAATTAAGGCTCAGGGGAAAGGAATGTGCTCAGGCTCATCAGCAAGTTGGTAGCAATCCTGGGGCCAGGTCCTTCCTAGGCCTCTGGAGTGTGGATTCAGCAAGGAGAAAAGCCAGGATTCAAACCCAAACCAGGAAGGCATGTGGGAAGGAAGGAGGGAGAAGGAAGGGTATTAGTCTGTTTTCTAGTGACACAATATCACAGCCTGGGTAAGTGAGAAAGAAAAAAAAATTATTTTAGCTCATGATTCTTGTCCAAAGGTGAGAGACCACATCTGGTGACAGCTTTCTGCTGGCAGAGTCCTACGGTGACACAGGACATCATATGGCAAGAAACAGGGAGAACATACCTGTCCACAAATCTTAAGAGTGCTTTCTGATCTCGTTCCCTCTTCTTCATTGTCTTTTTTTTTTTGCATTTATTTTTTCAGTTGTAGTTGGACACAATTTTATTTTATTTATTTTTGTGTGACGCCGAGGATCGGGCCCGGGGCCTCACATGTGCTAGGCGAGCGCTCTACCACTGAGCCACAACCCCAGCCCCTTGTTCCCTCTTCTCATAAAGCTACCGGACCCCATTATGGGACTCTAAAGATCTTCTCCAATCCCAAGCAGCTTGCCAAAGCTCCACTTCCAATCCCCATAGTCAGATTCCGTTTCCACCCTCTCAATGCTTCACAAGGAAGTTAAATTTCAAAACATCAACACAGGGACCTGCTCAAAGCGCATTCAAAATGAAGCAGGAAGGAACAAAGAAAAGAAAGGAAGAAAAAAGAGTTGGAAGGGGAGAGGGAGGGACGGTCTGGCTGTCTTGTGGCGACGGGAGATCAATTGTCCAGCCTCAGGAGAAACGTACGCGATTATCTACGCGCCCATCCTCCTCTTCTCCCAACAAAGTCGGGGTCCCCACATCCCCGTGGCTCTCTTTTGAGGGCAGCCGTTTTTAAGGAGCCCTCAGTTGGCTGGGTCAAGTGAAGTACTGACCCAAGATGTGCCAGCAAGTCCTCTGGCCAGGGATTTGGAACTTGGAACCCAGGAGAACTCAAACCCAGTCTCTCCGTGGAGCAAAAGCTGCCAAAGCCATCTGGAGACATTGGTGGCCATGTTTTCTGCACTGTGGAGAGAACTGGTCTGCAGAGAGAAAGAGTAACACAAGGCAAGAGACCAGAAAGACGGTCCCCACGGGGTTTGTGTCCCTGGGGGGAGCTTTCCGATGGTTTTGGAAGCCAACAGATCTCTCATCTTGCCTAGGCTGTTTTGTTGATGTTCCCTCACAGGAGAACATCAACAGTGAGTCCCCCCGATGTGGAGGCTGCCCCACGAATACCCCGCTGGGAAGCCAGGAGCTGCATTCTAAGCCAGTTGGGTCTGACAAATCCCTGGGGGAAAAATGAGCAATTTTGCCGGGAAGGAGGGCCGTATCTCATCACGGACTGCTGGAAATACAGAGGTCTGTTGAAAGTCGGTCACACTGCGGGTGGGTGTGGGGGCTCCTAACATGTGCCCAGTGAGAATCCTGCGTTCTTCGCAAGGGGGTGTTTATAGGGGCCGTGGAGTGAGAGATTAGCAGAGTCTCAGCAGTGAAAGGGAAGTAGAGGTGGGTTCATTTTTAAGATTTTAAAGGCCCCCAAAGAGGACTGGTATGAATGGAGGCCCAGTATTTAAAAGTTAAATATCAAGTTAACAAACTGTTCAACAAATATTTATCAGATGCAGAAGGTTCTCTCCTCCTACACCAGAGACACCAGAAGGCCCCCGAAGGCCAGCTGGATGTTGAATTCTCAGAGTCCTCAAAGCTCCATCGCAAATGCAGGGAGAGCCAGCCCTGGCTCTCAGCCCCCACGTTGTTCTTCTTCTCCACGCCTAACTGCTTTCTGGGCCACGGGGGCCTTCACGTGCACTGCAGGGACACCCCCACCCCAGCCAGACTGTCCAGTGTCGGCTGCTCCTCAGCAAACCCTTGCTTCTTAGTCTCTGGGCCTGGGGATCTGTGTCCTTCCTTGAATGGATGGGTCTGGGAGGAGCCTGCACAGACTCTGGGGGTGAACTTTGGGCATAGATTTCCAGGTTCCAGGACCAGGACTGTGGTCTAGAAGGGTGGGCAGTTGGGTGGACACTTCTGGGTTGTGTGGACTCCTTGCCCTTTGGGGAGGAGCCTGGCCAGGGCAAGGCCTCTGTGCCCAGGTCTAAGGTGGGTCCAACCAGAGAATAGGGAGAAGGTACTGGAAAGTTCTGGACTGGGGCAGGAACCAAGAAACTTCCTATCTTTGCAGTTTGGGTCTCTGGACCTCAAAACCTCCACTTGCCAATATGATGATTTTGAGTTAGAGGTAGAGATTTCTAGCCCAGAGTTGAGGTCAAACTACGGTTTCAATTTTGAGGGTTTTTTTTTTTTTTTTGGTGGTGCCATGGATTGAACCCCAGGGCCTTGCTCATGTGTTGAATATTTTTGTTTGTGTAACTTTGGGCAAAATCCTTAATCTCCCTGAGGATCAGTCTTCTCATCTGTCCAATAGGATGCACCTCCTTCGGCTTGCTGTGAGGATTAAGACAACTTTGGTAAAGGGATGAGTTCAGGAAGTGCCTATTATCCTAAACCCTGTTCTTATTCTTTCTCTACTGCTGTTGAGATCATTCCCAGCTTAAACAGCTGCTCCAGGATGCTCTTTAGAAAGGAGATGATTTTGGCTCTCTGGTTTTATTCTCAGGCTGAGAGTCAGCATCTTTGGTGAACTCTGGATTCTCTGGTGTCATTTTCCTTGCTAACCCCCAGCAAGTCACTTGACTTCTCAAGAGCCTCCGTTTCCTTGTTGGTAAGATAGAGGACAGCAGTATCTATTCAGAGGGCTGTTCTTAGGAATGGATGAGATAGTACCTCTACACTCTTCAACAGGGCCTGCCCGGCACAGAGCAAACTCGCAAAACTCTATTTTTATTTTACTCTCTTCCTGTCCTTGGCCACCTGTAAGCAGATGGTGTCCGTGATATTTTGGGTTGCGGTGGACCTGCTTCTGGAGCCACTTGCTGCAGCCATTCTCCCACTCTGTGAAATAAGGGCCTCCAAGGAAGGAAAACCTCAAATCCGATTTGTTCTCTTAAATTCAAGGTCTAATTGCTTTGGGAAGAAGCCCATGTTGGCTGAAATCATTCCTTGTTTCACTCTTCTCTGTTCCTCTCGGGCAAAGCTTAATCTCATTCAGACCTTATGATTACACAGGGAAGAAGAATTTTTGCCAAGAAGAGAAAATAGCAGCTGAGACCCTGAGAGCTCAGACAAGGAAAGTGCCCCAGGACCCGTGCTCCTTCTGGGCAGCTCCACTGCCTTCTCTTTCCTGCATGAGAAAATTGACCTCAGACATTTCCGAGCCAATGATAGACAAATCTGGCTTCTCCCCAGGAGCTGACAGGCAGGCGATCTCGTGGCACCGGAGGGTCTGGTAAATGCTGGGCATGCAGGCTCTGGCACGTGCTGGTAAGGCTTGCTCTGTGCTGGCAGCAGCCTGGTGGAAAAGAGCCAAGTTAGTGTGCAGATTCTCCGGTAACCCGGGGTCTCCCTGCCACCATCGGCTTCAATGGAAACCTTAAATTGAGCATCACAGAAGTTTTCCGTTAGCAAAAACACAGACTATGTTGATCCCTTCTACTTGGTCTGCTGCACTGACTCTTCCCTTCCTCCTGGCTATTTCTAAACACCTTAGAAAGCCATCTGCTTCTCCCCTGCAAGTCTCTTCCTTCATAGTTCTGTTCTTGCTGCTGTCACTTCCCCCTGCCCCCAACCCCGCCCCTCTGACTTGTTTCATCTACAAGGAACTCCTCAAAGTTCCCAGGACTTTCCCCCATCCCCACCTTGCCCAGGGTCCTTGCTCTTTCAGGTGCTGCCCCAACCCTTTATTTTTAATTGTGGTAAAATATGCATTGTATAAATTGGCCATCTCAATCACTTTAAGTGCATAATTCAGGAGCATTAAAAACATCTTCATACCTTGGTGCAACCATCATGAACTTCCCTCCTGGAACTCTTTGCATCTTGCAAAACTGAAACTCTGGATCCATTAAACCACCACCTCTCATTCCCCTCTCCCCTAGCAAAGACCATTCTACTTTCATCTCTAGGATGGACTATTTTAGAAACTTTGTATATGTGGAATGGTGCAGCATTTGTTTTTTAGTGACTGGCTCACTGTACTTAGCGTAATAGTCTCAGGGTTAATCTATATGGCAGCAGCTCTTCCATGTCCTACTCATCTTTTAGGTGTATGAATTTCCTCCCTGTGGGGAGCCTCCCTCCCAACCTCCCTGGCCAAGTTCCCACAATGCCTTGTGCCCCTCCTGTCAAGGGGAAGGGAGCCAAGCACTGAAGTGCTGGGTCCTGAAGACCCCTTGGTTCCTCCGTGGGGTGTGAGCTCCTTCAGGATACAGATTCCTCGGCCCTCATGATTGTTTGCCCAGTTTTGTATAACAGTACAGTGCCTGGCACAGAGTGGTCCTCAAGAAATATTGAAGATGGAATGTTAAATAAACTGACCCTGGTGGTATTTATGGACAATTAGATAATTGATAATCAAAACTTGAGACCTAAAATCTGAATGCTCTAGATACATTAGAGGGATGGGGTGTACTTAACCATGCTTTCCTGTAGCATGCTGTGTCTCCGTGGCCCTGGTGTCTACTTGTTCTGTTCTTTGCTGGTCTGTTCTACAGTCTCTGGCTGGAGGTATTCTATGCCCCCTTTTCTCCATGCACAGCCCCTTGGATCACCCATAGACCTTTCTGACACCATTTCTCTGGAGATGATTTCAAGTCTGGCTGTCCATGTCTCACTTCACCACACACAACCTGGGAAACACCTACTCCCAGCTACCTCCAGACCTTTCTGTTTAAGCTGGCCCAAGACAACATTGCTGTGTTAACTCACAAATATCATCAATCAGATTTGAGTTTTGCAGGGAAAATAATCTGCCACTTGCCCATAGCTTCCATGTGTGGGGGACATGAGTAAGACATGCCCTTTGTTTCAATGCTCATACAAAAGCTGTTCTCCAAAGCATGGTAGGGTAGCAGAAAGAGCAGGGGGACCTGTATTTGCCTTGTCACCTGCTTGTGGTCTGACTTTGGGCAAATCATATGTACTCCCTAAGACTCAGTTTCCTTATCTGTAAGATGGAGATAATAAATGGAATATCTCCAGAGATGTGAGAACTCAACAAAGTAATTGTAGAATTCTTTATCTAATGTCCGAGATCCTCCCAGGTGGAAAATCCTCAACATTTTTAACATCAAATAAGGCATGTGTTATTTAAGAAAATGGGGCCCCATTAAGACAATGCAGGGAAGGTATCTTGTAAGATGAACATCCGTAGGTAGACAACAGGGTCACGGCCTTCCCCCTTCCAGTGGTTTCTCTCCATGTCCTGGGGCCTAGAGCCAAGCAGCCCAGGGAAAGATTTATTTGATTTCTAGGGAATCCCTATTGCTCAATGGAATTGCTGCAGAAGGTGCTCTCCTAACTGACTAAATGGTTTAATGGATTATCCGTCAATACCCTGCAAACGCCCACAGCCCTCTGAGCATTCATATTTGGCAAACAACTGGAGTATACTTCCGCCCCAAGAATTGAGGAGTCAAGTACTTGCTCAACCAGAATCGACTGTTTGTTTTCAAACCTGCTTATGCCTATTGTATGCTTTTTTTTTTAATCATAACTGTATGACTGTATGGAAACCAAAGAAAAATTGATGAAATTAAAGTAAAAATAATTTTAAAATCTTTATGAAGGCTAAAATGGACACTTTGTTTGAGGGGTTATATTGAGTTGAGGAGAGATGAAGTAACTATTAAAGCTTGGGAAAAATTATAAAAATCTGGATATATACTGCACTCTTATTGCTTTGCAAATATCCATAAGCTCTTACTCTACTTTAAAAAAAATCAGAAATTAACCAGACATGGTGGCGCATGCCTGTAATCCCAGTGGCTTGGGAAACCAAGTTGGAGGATCACAAGTTTGAGACCAGCCTCAGCAACTTAGCAAGGCCTTTAGCAACTTGGTGAAACCACATTTTAAAATAAAATATACAAAAGCAATAGGGATGTAGCTCAGTGATAAAGTACCTCTGGATTCAATCCTCAGCACGCGCGCACACACACATACATACACACACACACACACACACACACATCTGAAATTGAAAATCACACATAATTATTATGGAAGGCATCATCAGGGGATGGATGAATGAATGTACAGCTTAATGTTGAAATTTGAATGAACATCTTAAAATTGAAATAAAATGCTTGTAGAATGTGTCATTTTTTTTAATGTTTCCATGCTTTACAAGATATCTTTTTTCTTGGTACTGGAGCTTGAAACCAGGGGCATTTAACCACTGAGCCACATTCCCAGCCCTTTTAAATATTTTATTTAGAGACAGGGTCTCACTAAGTTGCTTAGGACCTAAGCTAAGTTACTGAGGCTGGCTTTGAACTCAAGATCCAAGATCCTCCTTCCTCAGCCTCCCAAGCCACTGGGATTATAGGCGTGACCCACCACACCTGGCAAGGTACCTATTTTTAAGTTAACCCAACAACCACTGGTGTTGACTGAGTTGGTCTCTGTGGCTCCTACCTGGGACCCTCTAAGCTGACCCACTCATACCCATTTCTTCTCTGTTGGTTGACGTTCTCACTTTGCATTCCACTCAGTTATCAACCAATGGGGAACCAAAACCAGTTCTGAGTTTCAAGCCAACTTTTTGGTATACCATTTTAGGCTGCCGTTATTGGACCCAAGAGACAGTCAGTCACACAACATCTTATTTTGATCACCTCCTGCCTCATCAGTTACTTTGTTTTGAAGCCTTTCCCCATCCCACACCCTGCAGCATGCAAGCCTGCTGAGGAAAGAGGCACTGAAAATCCAAACAGGTCCTGTGAAGGTGGTTAATAAGGAGGCGCCCATTCTGCTGCTGCCGACACTGTTAGCCACACTGAGGAAGATGCTCATGAAGTCTGTCCTCAGAGGTCGGCGGGCAGAGAAGGAGCCCCCTCTCTCCCATCTCCATCCCCAGTACACCACCCTGTTCATCATCTTGTTGGATTCCACATCCACCAGGAAGTTTCAATGACTTGCCCAAGGTCACACATTGTTTTCAAAGACAAATCTGTGACTACAACCCAAGCCCATGTCATTGTCTCTTAGGCCAATTGTTTTCTCCAACCAAACTTTAGATTCTTGGCTCTCAGGTATTTTCTGGCATGGCATAGCATGATCTGTGGCCTTTCTATGTGAGAAGCCCTCTGATTCTGACAACAGTCAAAGCCTTTTCCTTGTTGATCTGCTGAGGCAGAATTTGCTAGTTGCCTACCCCAAATCCTTTTGTGCCCTTCCTTGCTTAGTCATGGCATTCACAGCTTCTTTTGCAATTAGGTGTGGCCATTGGAGTGCTGGCCAACGAGATGTGAACAGAAGTGAGTGGAAGCTTACAGGAAAGTTCCATAGAAGATTTTTATCCAGCTGAAATGTGCACCCTTTGCCAAGACCCCCACTCTATATATCCCTGTTTGCATTTCCTAGTGTGCAGGTGGAAGGCAGGAAGCTCCTGGAGCTATTTGTACCCTTAGATGACCTTGGAAATGGACCTAAGAGCTAAGATAGTGGGGGAAGCCATGCAGGGAAGGTTCCTGGGCTCTTGGTGACGATCGAGCCTCTGCAGCCAGGAGCTGGAGAGGTGGAAGTGCTGTAGTCATTCCTGCACCCCATGGTCTAGACCCACATCCTGTGATGACAGGAGCAGCAGGTGACACTGAAGGTGATGCTTTGGGCCTCTTGGGACTGAGCCCCAAGACAGCCAGTGTGAGACCTAGGAAACAGAACACCCCACAGAGCTGGAGGGAGAGGCCTTCGTTGGCCCTGCTTCTCTGGTGACCTGGGGCACACACTGAGTCTTTGAAGTACTCTGGAGTTTTGCAGCTTTTGGAGTACCAGGGCCCAGAACCCTACCCCAGGCCCTCTGGAAGTCAGAGAATGCACAGGGCTCTTGGGGGGAGGCAGCAAGGCTGTCTTGCCTCAATCAGTGCAGAGCACGGCAACATCAGCCAGTAAAGAACTGAGTAAGGCCCTTGACCTTGTGCAACTGGCCAGACAAAACGGGGTGAGGTGGGCTCCCTGGAGTGTCCTGAGTCATGCAGTCAGGTCATTCAACTGGTGAGACTTGAGCTGTGATCTCAGTTATACTCACAGACTAGGGGACTTTGGAGACAAGTGACATATGCAGATGACAGGGTTGGCCTAGGATGCCTCACATTGTGTTATTTCAGGAAGGCTGCTTCTTTGATGGGGGTAGGAGGTGGCGGGCCATTTCTTCCAGACTCACCTGCCATGGTCAAGTGCATACCACCGGTGTATATCTTCTTTCATCTCAACTTCAAGGATGGAACCTTCTGGAGTACGAAGGTTAGCGGTCCTTTCGGGCTGGAAGAAGAAGGAGTGGATATGAGAATGGGAACCCTAGGACTGCACTGGTAGCAGGGCGTAAAGACCACCCGTAGATTACATGGGTTTTCTGTGTTAGAACAAAATTCAAGCTGACTGAATCGGTAAGATAACAAGAGCATTTTCCCCCGAGCTTTGGCTTGCTTTTTCCAACTACCAACTTGATGTGATATTTTCCAGGTGAATGCTTTTCTGCATTCAGTCAGCTTATTTTAGCTTTCAGCTCTGGGGGTGTTTGATCTGCTGGCATCCTGGAAGAATCACTACTGACATCCAGGGTCCAATCAACACATCCTGTTTTTGCGAGACAGGCATTCAGAGAAACACACAATTTTGCAGGGCTGGAATGAAACTTAAGAGATCTTCTAATCCCACCCCTCGTCTTAGAGCTCAGCAGAAGTGATTGCTGGAGGATGTCTTCTGGTTAATTAAGGTGAACTCGAGAGTGGAACTCAGGATCCCCAACTTATAAACAGGAGCTGAAACATTTTATTCTGTAATTTGACAATTCGGGTTCCTATTGAATGGCCCAGATACAGTATGTGAAGGCTGAGGTTCTTGTTTTCTCTGTGTTGTTCTTGGAAAAAAATTTAGGCTGCTTCCTGAGGTGACTGCATTTAAATAGGGCAGAAGAATAAGCAAAGAATCACCCTCTGGTTTCCTTACACAAGATCAAGTTCACTCCTGAAGCGTTTGCTTGCCCTTTTCCACCCTTGGAGAGCAAATGTCCTATGAATTACAGTGTTTTACATCTGTTGAACAAATGCATTTCACTCCTCCTTCTTGCTTTGCCTGCCCCTCTCCTCTTCCTCCCACCTTGCCCTCCTGAGTGTCCTCCCACCTGCATTTGAACTTGCAGCCTGATTTTCCTCTAGGTCTGCCCCAGAGCAAAAGATCCAACAAGCCCCTTTTCCCCATCAGCACATGTACCCTATTTGTTCTCCTCCTTCCTTTCTTTCCACCTCCCACTGAGCTTTTGTTTCGCAAATTGCAGGTCTATCACAATTAATGAAGGCATTTGTTTTCTCCATATCAGAAGCACACTGAAATGACTGTTATTTCCAAATGAGCCAATAATTGCACGTGAGAGAGCCACTGGGGTGCTGTTGATAACCTTGGGAACAGGATCCAGGAGATGCAGGAGGCCCAGATGAGACAGAGCTTTTCCTGATTGGTGCTTGCCTGGTTCCTTTATTTCCTATTTTGAACATGTTTGGAACCCTAAGTCAGAGCTAGTGCCTCGGTTAGACTGCGTGATCAGTATTCTGTGAGGCTGCCAAGGAAAAACCCACGACACATGATTTTGCTGGCAGAGCAGGTGTCCTGCTTTGAGTTGTAACATAGCTGGTGAGCAATAGCTCATGAAATGACCTTCTTTTCAATTTATTAAAGGGCGAGCATTTCTTGGAAATCCATATATTTCATGGAGCTGTAAATCAAGACTGCATCGACCAGGGCCCTCTCTGAATCTCTTGCTCTGACTTTGACTTTCATAGACTTGGGCATTAAGCTAATTATTTCTTCCTTTTGGTCATTAGAACTCTCTGCTTTTAAGTGCACCTCAGAACCAGGAGCCTGTGAATGGGCAGGGTCTGTTCTCAGATGTGACAGCTGGGTTGAGCATGGTGTGAAGTGTCCTGGTGTTCCCAGGCCAGGGACAGCTGCCTTTTGTGGATCAAAATGTGGGAAATGCTGGGAGACCAGGTCCTGCCTTCCCATAGATAGAAAAACACATCCTCCTGGTCCTGGTCAGTAACATGAGCTTGGGGTGCGGGGAACACACTTATTCCTGCATTCCTGGGTCATGCCTCGGCTGTCTCAGGCTGTAGTTTTTGTTTCATGCTGATCCACCTGCAAGCTACAAAGGCAACACAGCTGAGCTCGATGTGCCAGCACCAACCTCAGTACAAGTCTCCTCCTCCATCACTTGGTCCTGCTCCTCCCTTCCCACCGTGCACCCAGGAGAAGCATCTCCTTCCAGCACCGAGTGAGCAGGCGTACTCCGGGGATCTGTCAAAATTTCATAGGGGACTCGTGGATGATCCCAAGAAGCAGGAGTAAAAATATCCCAGGGGCTACTCTGCCCAAAGGTCCCTGAAACAATAGAGATAAATTGAAATATAATATGCATATGATGGCAGGTAAGCTGTCTTCCAATCAGAGCAAAGCTTACTACGAAAATGGATAGGACTTCTTAATCCTGAAGAGGTCACCTTCATCAAGCTATTTTATGCCTCTCTAGTTTCATAAGAAAATATCCCAGGGCAATTGGTCTTGGAGGCTGAAGCCTGGGACAGCATCTACACAATGTATTACCTGGGTGCAGAGACTACTCAGAGATACTAAGGACTTGCAGGATAAGTTCAAAATAGTTCCAGACCTGTTTCAAGAAACATAAGCTACAAGACAAGATGGACTACTAGAATAGGTCCACAGGCCCTCTGAGCAGTAAGTCAGGGTATTCTAGTTACAGTGGCCCACATGTGCCAGGCAACACAATTTCCTCCAGTTTTGAATTTTCCCTGCCAAGACATGATCCTTATGAGGCAGTTCCTTACCAAACTCACTGCCTTCAATTTCACTGAGTTCTCTAATTTCAAATGTTTTTGATTTCACTAATTGTGGGGAAATAAGCTTAGATTATACTATGGACTGAATTGTTTCCCCAAAATTCTTATGTTGAAGCTCTAACTGCCAATGACCCTTTAGGGGGGTAATGAAGGTTAAATAAGGTCATAAGAGAGGATCCTTGATTGGACAAGGTTAGTGTCCTTACAGTAAGACACCAGAGCGCTCTCTCTCCAGTATGTGTGCATACAAGAAGGAGACCTTCGGAAAACCAGTAGAGAGCCATCACCAGAATCCAACCACACAGGGACCCTCGTCTTGGACTTCCAGCCTCCAGAACAAGGAGAAAATAAACCTCTGTTCCTTAAGCTTCCCCATCTATGAAATTTTGTTACGGCAGCCTGAGCTGACTCATACACCTTACCTCAGAGAATTAATGCGTCTAGATTGGTTCTAAAGTGGGGCTGAGATGGAAGCCAGGTGGACATTTCATACCTATGTATGCTCCATCCATGCTCCACAGGCGCACAGTGTGGTCGAGGGAGGATGATAGCAGAATATTTTCTTCCTCTATCAGCTCCAAACTAAAGAGGTAAGAGAGGAGAAGAGATTCAAGCTTCCGCATTGAAGGGCTGTCGGATCCATATGTGTGTACTCCATTAAATTTGGAACATGGAAGCCAGGTTCTTCTCGATTCTTCTGGGAACCATTCTTTCCCTGCCTTCTTCCTTACCACACTCTCTCCAAATTCCCCCACTGAAGCTCCAAGATATCAAATGAGATACCCTGGAAACCACCCTGTGGAGGATCAGTCCGAGTGGAAGACCAAGAGGTTGAAAGGATCCATTTAGCAAGAGTTAGAATTCCTCCAACCAAAAAAATCTTAAACCTACTAAGCTTATAAATTTGCACAACAGCAGGCCAAGTCAAGGAAAACCATTATCTGTTTATGAGAAAAATGATTTCCAGTCTCTCCCTTCAGTTGTGTGTGGCCATGTCTGTCCTTGTTTTCATCAATAGCAAAATAGCTTTTCTCTTTTGACTTTCTCAGAGGGCTTTTGAGAAGATTGATCTAATCAACCCTGGGGAAATCATCTTCACTCTTTTACAAATTCTTGAACTCTAAAAGTGATGGTGGTACTCACCATGTCACCATGCTGACATGAGCCCTCCAGAAGGTCACTTCTAAATGCAAAGAAAGAGCACAATCTGAGTGGAATGGGGAATTGGCACAACTACCATGGAACTGCAGGATTGTCTCTGCAGGTCAGGGCTGGCAGAGAGGCATGGGTGTGGTGAGTCATCTGCCTTGCTGTGTGGGTTCCAAAATCAGTGACGGGGCAACTACTGTGTGTCAGACCCCTCACCAGGTCCGAAGGCATGTGATATGGGACCCATACAAGATACTTACGCTGTGATTTCCTTCAGTGCTAAGGGTTTGGTAAGTGTACAGGAATATGCAAGTAGTAAAAAGTGATTTTTTAAGACATATTTCTTCATTTATTGCAGTGGGAAATCTGGCCGAGGGCTTTACACATGCCAGACAAGCACACTACCACGGAGCTCACTCCCAACCCTAAAAATGATTTTTATAATAGGCTAGTGAAAGTTACACTGGGATTTGGAATGCCCCCTAAATCTCAAAATGTGTTAAGGGCTTAAAGAACCTTTAAGAAATGGGGCTTAGAGGAGGTTTTAAGTCCTCGAGGGCATACCCCCAAAGGGACCCCTCTCATTTCTTTCTTTTTTCTTTCCTCTTCCTGGCCAGCAGGTGAAACACATGGTCTGCCCTGTGGTCCTGCTACAATGTGCCACCATAGGCCCAAAGCAACAGGGCCAATTGGTCCAGAATGGAAAGCTCAAAAACTGTGAACCAAACAATCTTTTTGTCTTTGTGATTTGATTAGCTAAACCATTTGTTACAGTAATGGAAAGTTGACTCACATACCTGTAGTATTTGGAATTAAAACAATAACAAGGCAGATTATTTTTATCTATAAATTCTCATTTCCCTTAGTGGGGAACAGAAATAAATATGTGATCATTTATCTCTAAATAGGCTTTTGAGAAATATTTGATGGAATTATAAAACTACTTAAAAATGAGGTAGAGCCAAATATACTTATTTGGAAAGTTGTTTAAGAGTTACAACTTTTAAAAATAAGTTCTAAAATTAACGTATTGTAAATGTGTGTGTGCCCTTATATACAGGTATGAATGTGTGTATATCTGGAAATAAATTCAAATTCATTAACAGTTTTTTTAAAAATTTGTAGACAATACCTTTATTGATTTATTTACTTTTTATGTGGTGCTGAGGATTGAACCCAGGGCCTCACACATGTGAGGCAAGCGCTCTACCACTGAGCCACAATCCCAGCCCCCCATTAACAGTTTTAATGGAGGTTAGGGAGATAGGGGAGATCAGAAAAACACTTTCATTTTTCATTACTTCCTACTGTTTAATCTTTTTTTTATAAACATGAGTACTTTTATAATTGTGTGAAAGGGTTATACATTTTTAAACATATTTTTTGTTACTAAAGCAGTATGGATGCATAAAATTTTCAAAAGACGGCTTTCCAAAGAGAAGAAAATTAAAAATACCCCTAACTTCATCTACAAAGAAATAATGTTTGTTAAAACTTTGGTGTATGTCTTTCGTCTTTTAATCCTCTTTGCTTTAACAAAGATAGAATTGTAATGTAATATTCCTCCATGATCTGATTTTTTTTTCGTTTAACCGTTTATCATGAATATTTTCCCATGAATGCATTTCATTTACACTATCATTATTTAATGACTATATATTCCAATGTACTACACCCTCAGGTATTCAATCATTTTCTTTTATATTGTGCATATAGGTTGTCTCTCTTCTCTCTCTCTCTCTCTCTCATAAACATTGTGCTGATGCGTAATCTTATAATTAAATCTCTGTGCACATTTATTATTTCTTTCAGCCAAATTTCTAGAAGTAGAATTTCCACTTACAGCTTTAGATGCATCCTAAATATCAACTCGCCCTTCAGTTAGCACACAGCAATTACCCTCTATTCAAGACTGTACATGCGCCTCTTTTCCTGCACCCTTGCCAACTTTTCACTAAAATATATATTTTTTTAATATATCTACTTTCAAAGAGTGTTAAGAGAACTCCCTCCCCACACGGGTACAATTTAATTTTACCGGCCAGAATATGGCACTGTAACCAAATCTGTGTTCACCATAGTGTTTAATAGGAAGAAGTGCATAGCCTACTCTTGGGCGGCTGCAGTTCCGGTCCCTGCAGGCCGTACTCCTTGATGTCACAGACGTGTACAAAGCCTTGCTGGTCAGCCAGGTAGGCGAGGGCATCTTCCGTTGTCACTGCAATGCTGCTGACCTGGGCTTTCTCTCTGGACTGAGACACACATACACACAATGGCACGTGAAATGCTGTACTTGATGGACGGTAAGGACTAGTGGCTGTGCCTGTGTGAATCCCTGAGCAAATCAGAAATGCCACGAAGACGAACAAAGCTAAGAGCTTGGAGAATGGCAGAGCTACTCTGTTGGGTGGTCTAGCAACAACAACAAAAAACCCCAAGCCCGAGGGGGCCAGTTATCCAACTGGCTGCTTAACTTACAGGAGTGAAGTTTGCGATGAGGCCAGCTCCACCGAACAGCCTCCAGAAGGTGACAGAACCTGGGAGGGAGGAAAGCGATCAGGAGGGATGGTTTGCTCTTTAACCCTGGTTCCTGAGCCCACCCCGGGATGAGCCTGTGCTGAGAAGCCATTGCAGCCGCTGCAACCTCACCACAGGGGGAGTGGGACATCTTTTCTATTTGGTTGCTTTTGATCAATTGGGATTCTCAGCATATCCTGGGGAACAAGGTCCTTCCTCTTTGTGGATTTCTAGGACTCAAAATCCTCTCCCTTTTTTACTAATCAGGGCAGGATTCCTGACAGAGGAGGGATCTAGCTTCAGCTGTAGAGAAAAGCATGTCACACCACTACGACATGGTGGTGATGAATGCCTTTCCACCAGCGTGTGTGAGTGTGTGCCTGCATGCACACATTTATGTAACACACTATGAAACTCGCCTAGTCAGAGGGAGGGGATGGGGGTTTTGCGTGGCCTATCAGTTACAGTCTTGCCTGGGTTCACATGTGGGTATATAGGTGCTAGCTTTGGTGAGGTGGGGACCTCAAGTGTATCAATCCTCTTGCAAGTTCCCTAAGTCACAGAATGTGGACTCCTTCTCCTCCCAGGGAAGAGGAGTGCTCTGTGTTCCTGCTCAAGTAAAGCAGAGGAGATGGGTGCCTCTCAGAGAGGAGGGCAGAGAGGGAACGGTAGCGGGGTGGGCATCCAAGGGCACTTGGTACCTATAAACCTGCTGGAGGGGGCTTGATTTAAAGGAAGTGGAGCTGGAGTTCCTACTCCCCACATGACTGCCTCCCTGGAGAGCAGGAATGGGGCCAGAGCAGCTTGGGGTGTCGGCTTGAGCCCTAACAAGAGGAAAAATGCTAATGGGGAAATAGCAGAGGCAGCACGAGGTGAGTAGTGAAGCTTAGGGACCCTTCCTCACCCAACTTAAGCCTGGAATGGACATGTCTTGGACCCTGGGGCACTGCCCACCATGGCGCTCTGACCTCACCTCCTGGCCCATTGGCGATGAGGGAAGCAGCCACTGAGTCCAACCTGGCTGCCCGAGTCTTCAGGAAGGCGAGGCGAGAGACACTTGGGTCTGGGCCTGGGGGGGTGAAGGAGAGCCCGTTTAGTTGATTTTGGGGCTCCCTACATAGCTCATGGCTCACTCGGGGTTCACGGTTACTCTCACACTCTCAGCCCTCTCTCAGGTGGCTGCCCGAGCTGCATTTGGAAACCAAATGGAGCAAAGTGGCCTGACTGGCTCAGCACCCGACCAACCTAGATGATGGTCAAAGTCAGCTGGGCAGGCTAAAAGCTCTGGTGGTCCAGGGGGCCCCAACAGTGCCCCAGGAACCTGGGACTTTGGGAACTTGGCCTCGCGGTGGTGGTGGTGGGAGACCTGAGACATCCGAGAAACCCATGCAGGTGGGTGTTGGGGGGCTTGGCCTGGGACTCTGCAGACACCTCCCCAAAGATGCCCCTCTTCGGAGCCCCTGGCTTGGAGTAATTCTGATGAACCTTTATGGCACCTACATTAACCACGGACTTTCACAGACACGGTGATGGAATATCATTCCCATCGTCAGAAGAGGAGATGGAAATTTAGACCAGTTAAAAGATTGTCTCAGGACCATAAGTTGATGTTTATTCCTTCATTTATTTTTCATCTCTGTCTAAGCATCTTTGTAGGGTTAAGGCATCATGCTGGGTGGGGTGTAAAGAAGGGGAAGCAACGATCAGAAGAAAACCAACAAGAACAACCCCCAAGAAATGAATATACCACCACAGGCACATGCAGCAGCAGGGAGGGTCAGAGGAGGGATGTCTGGAAGGTCTGCATTTACTCTGGACCACCCCAAGGTGGAGAAGGCCCTTCAGGAAGGCAGGTGTCGAACCTCCATCTCCACAACGCAGCTCAGTCCTGAGGAACTGAACCCAGCCCCACCTGCCCAGGCTTCTGCTCACCTGCTAAGTTTCAGGCACCATCCACACAGAGCCCACATCTATCCTTTTACTACTACTACTTCTCTTCCTCCTCCTCCTCCTCCTCCTCCTCCTCCTCCTCCTCC